TCTGTTGGTCAAAGGCCTCCTAAAGGCCTGCATCGTCTGTATGACTTTGTTGGAGAAACTGATCTGCCTCAGAACTCTCTGCTCAAATGCCAGACCATCAGTTGGAGCCATTGGGGTTCTGGATGAACTAAGGCCCCCTGACTGAGGGAGATTCTGTCCTGAGGGATCCTCCAGGGCTTGGATACTGACAGGCTGACCAGATCTGCATACCACCGACATCTGGGCCAGTGGGGATCTAAAAGTAGGATCTCTGCTTTCTCCGCCAGCACCTTCTTGATTATCCCTGGAATGAGGGGCAGAGAATGAAAGGCATATAGTAGCCCTTGGGGCCACGGACTGCTGAGTGCATTGGTCCCTTCCGTCCGCCCCCAGTGCTGCAAACCTTGGGCGGCATAGAAATGCGACAAAATAAATAAATAAATAAATAAAACCTGGGCAGATGGGTGTTTGATGGAGAGGCAAACAGATCCAGGATCGGGGGGGGGGGGGGGGGAGCGAACCTTTCTGACAGATCCCTGAATAGGTTTGGGTGTAGGTTTTCACTCTGAGTGGTTAACCGTGGTTCTGCTGAACCAGTCTGCCCGTGCATTCAATGTCCCCGAGTTGTGCTCCGCTCTGATGGAGAGAAGTGTCTCTCTGCCCAGAGGCCCAATTGTTCGGCCTCTCGCATGAGGGATCTGGAGTGGGTGTCCCCTTGGCAGTTGATATGGGCCTTGGTGGCCACATTGCCCATCAGAATGAGTATGTGGTGTCCAGAGATCGTGTTCTGGAACCATCTGAGGGCCAAGAAGGCTGCCTTGAGCTGCAGCCAGTCAATATTGTTCCTCAGGTCTTCCTGAGTCCACTGCCTTTGTGCCATCTGGGACTGGAATTGGGGGCCCCAGCCAAAGAGGCTGGCGCCTGTGGTGATGTTCAAGCGGCTGGGTTCCTTGAAAGCACATCCTTTGATTATGGCCTGGGACATCCACCATTGGAAGGATTGAAGTACCTTTGGTGGAACCTGAACTCTGGCATTTGAGTTACTTCTGACAGGTCTTGGTAGGGCAAAAGAAACCACTGTAAGGTTCTGGCATGCAGGCGTGCCCAAGGGATGATTGATATGCAGGATACCATCTTGCCCAGGAGTTGCGAGAGGAGGGTCAGGGACACTGTTCAGTCTGCTTGGATCCGACTTGCCAAGGCCTTTATACTGACCTGACGCTCCTGGGATAGGGAGGTCTTGCACGACCTGGTATCTATGACCACACCCCGGTGTAGCAGCCAGTTGGTAGGAGCCAGATGGCTCTTCTCGAAATTGATGGAAAATCCATGATCCTGGAGGACCCGGATCGTGACTTGCACCCAGAGGTGAGAGGAGGACTGTATCAATATATTGTCCAGGTAACATTGGACACGCATGGGGATCGCCCTGAGATGTGCCGCCAGTGCCGCCACTAATTTGGTGAAAGTCCTGGGTACTGAGGACAGGCCAAATGGTAGGGCGTTGTACTCATAGTGTCAGCCCGTATAATAGAACCTCAGGAACTGCCGGTGGGATGGTAGGATAGGTATGTGGAGGTATGCCTCCATCAGGTCTATGGAGGTTAGGAAGTCGCCCTCTCAGATGCTGTCCAGTATGGACTGGAGGGACTGCATTTTGAATCTCCTGTAAACCAAGTGGATGTTTAATCTCTTCAGGGTTAGGGTGAAATTTGAGAGTGAGGCCTAATCTCACCTTGTTCAGGACCCAAGTATCTGTTCTGGTTGCCTCTCATTGGTCCGCAAATAGACTTAGTCTATTGGGTGGGTGGGTTTTGCAGTCATCTGGAGCGACAAAATGGGTGACTTCCTGAGCCACGAAATGGCTGTTTGGCCTGGAATTGTTGCCTGCTCCTATCCCTAAATCGGGATCTGTCCGTTGGCGGTCCTGTCTGTAGAAGTATGCCGTCTGGAGGTGAGGAGTGTCAAAGTTGGTCTCTGTAGGCCGGAATGGAGACCTACGAAAATTAGGCGAGGGACAGCTGTCGGCTCGCTTGTATAGAGAACGCAGTACCTTTCTCCTGTCTCTAGTTTTCATCAGGATGGGCTCTAGGGTCTTTCCAAAAAGTTTGTTACCCTTGAAGGGAACAGAGGCTAGCTTCCATTTATATTCCAGTGACGAAGTCACAACAGGCAGCAGGCTGTCACCGAGGAGGTGATGGCCCTGGAAGCAAATTTGGCGGCATTCAAGATGGCATCAGCCAAGGATTCTGTTGCCGCTACCAGCTTATTAATGTCCTGGTATATGCAAAAGTCATCAGATGGAACTCTCTCTTGCATCTGTTGGAGCCAGAGCAAGGAGGTTCTATTACAAAAGAAGTGTTTGTTGCTGCCTTGATCACCCAGACAGCCTCCTGATGTGCCTTGCGGAGGGTGAGCTCTGTCTTCCTATACTCCGTCTTCAGGTCGTCCTCCGTGTCATTAGATAAGATGATGGAGGATGTTAAAGCCACTACTGGGCTGTCTATCATTGGCGGTTGTAGTACCTCAGTGAGGTCCGGGGCCACATTATAAATTTTTTTGTCATTCCCACTTGGGGGTGGGTATGTCCCTGGTTGGGCCCATTGCCTCTGGATTACGTCCAGGAATAATTTAGGTGAGGGAATTTCTTCACTCTGTGGTTGGCTCTGAAAAGAGCAACTCACTCGGGTCCATTAGGCCCAATGCTAACTCCGGTTTAGTTGGGTCAGCTCTCAAGTGGGCTGATTGCAGCCTGATGTAAGAGGTGGCTAAGAGGATTGCTCTGTGATGCCATCTGGTGACCATGTCTGAGAGCACAGTGCCATCTGTTGCCTTGCATCATTTAAATGATTTAATGGCTGAGCTGGTAAAACACGAGAAATGACAATTCTTTCCCCCCTAGGGGGATTTTCTCCTCTCCTTTGTTCAGCTTCCCTCTCAGTCTGGGCAAATCTTTTGTCCATGGCCTTTTGGCGTCCTTCTCCTCAGCTTTAGAAACTTTTTGGGAGGAAATGGCTTTTGCTCTTATTTTGGCAGGCGCTCCTTTAACTGCCAACTTCGGTGTTGAGAAGCCTTTAGGAGAATCTGGGGCTGGACTGGGGAGCCCTGGTCCTCCCCCTTGTTTCTGGCATTCCTGAGGCTACAGGGTCAGCCATCTCAAGTCTTTTTGGACCTCCTGGACAAGGCAGGCTTATTCCAGCTGGGAACCTTGCTGCCGCAGCTTTTCCCACCAAGCCGTGCAGAGTATGCACCTGGAATTGACAGGGCAGTGACTCCAGTCCCCTCCGCTCTTTTGCGGGTAGAAATGAGGGACCTCAGCTTTCTCCACTTAAGCCGGAACAAGGTGGCTATGCTGGACAGACCGGGGGAGCCAGCCGAGCCGTTCACTGAATTGCAAAGGCTTACACAGTGCCACAAGACCTTACCATGAGAAGTCAAGAATCCAAGGAATGAATCTCTTATCCTTTTGCTCTAAGTTTTGAGTCTCCTGAGAAGTTATCTTCCAAGTTTCTCTTCTGAGCCAAGACTGAGTCAAAACTGGGCATGCGCAGGCAAAGGAGGCATGACCAAAAGATTGAATGACTCAGTCTCCGAGCAGAAGAGCAGAGTTAACCCATTCCTTGGATTCTCAACTCAGCATACTGGAGAATAGGAACCATCTCCTTTATATTATGAACCTAAAGCTAAAGTAAAAGGTGCTATTCCATGAAATTTCACTAAGCATAGAAGACAAAATATTTTTTTTTAAAAATAAAACCAATGTGGTTGATAATCTCTAATAATATTAAAAGCCTTATATCAATTTTGATTTAGATGTTGCACTGGAATTTAAAACAATTCTAAAATAGTAGAGAATTACAAGCTATACACAAAAACATATTGCCAGAACATATTTTCCCTCCTATCCCAAAATATATAAAGCTTGCAATGATTTATTTTATGGGGAAGCATGATTTTTTAAATTAAAAGGGCTTTTATTATAGGGTCCCTATAGCAATTTTTCACAACTAGTCCTTCATATTCACTTTATCACCATTAATGGCCTTTCATATTCATTCAACACATTGTTCTTATGGTCGCTATCATTTTTCCCCCCTTCTCCCAGTCTACTCTGTTGTTGTTATCAGGTTCTTCAAACTTCCTAATAGTTTACTGCCTCAATTTTATTCTAAAAATACCATACATACTATATTTCTCCAACTATAAATCTTTTCTCTGTTCATTTTCTCCAGTGAAGGTCACTCAGTTCTCTTTCAGTTTCTGCTATCCTGGAAAAGTTTCTATTCCTTATATTTTAAGAATCACATCACTCTATAAACATCTTCTCACAGTGTATAGCACCATCTCCATAGCCAGTTCCAATTAACAATGAAACTTATGGCAAGTGGTATGTATGCATATTAATCCAGCATCTTTTCTACTTGAAGATAAAGAGATGCATGTTATATTGTTCTACAACAATTGTGTACATTTTAAACTAATTTTCAGCATAGTAATCTGTGTAATAGTAACCATAGTTTTAATAATATAAAGTTTTTCACATCATTTATATATTCTTAAATCATTACTACTTTAACTATATGGCCACTACTTCAAAACAATAACAGATTTTTTTTTCTTCTCTGAGCTTCCAGAATGTCAACCAGAAAAAGAAAACTAACTCTGTGCTTTAAATCAAAATTGTGACTTCCAATGATACTTAATGATACCTTCCAGCAGCCTCACCTGTGATTCAATGGTGCAATAAAATTGTATGACAAAAATATGGCAAAAGATAGATAGATCAGAGAAAACAGCTCAGAAGAAATGATAATTCAGTTGAAACATTCCTTCTTCTAGATCCAGTAACTTATTTCTAGTTAGACTTCAAGGATAAGTTACTCCCCCACTCCAACCCAGCTTTTCCCACTGTAGTTTCAGAGACAATTAAGCGATGAAACAGTATGTAAACCATTAGCACAGAACTACTGCAATATTCTGAATTAATTGTAAAATAATTTTCTACTAAAATTACTACTTACCATGTTAGGCATAACAGGAGCAGGCACTGGTTTCTTGTCCATTGGAAACTGTGGCAAACTGTTAGGTAATACCGGCTTACTTTGCATCTGGGGACCAAGTCCACTGGCTCCAATTGGCTGCCCAGTGTTTTGGCTATATGGCGGGACATAAGGACTAGGGTTGTTCATCATTCCCATCTAAAAATTAAGTAAAAAGTGATAGATCAGGTAAGGATTTTTAATTTTTACTTTCATGGAATATAAAGCAAGCATGAATATTTTAATATCAAAAACTATCTTGATGTAGTGCAGGTGTGTCAAACTCAAGGCCCAGGGGCCAGATCCAGCCCGCGGGGTACTTGGATCTGGCCCGCAGGGCCACACTGGAAACCACAAAGGACTGGCCCGCAGTGCCTCTGCCAGTGCAAATGGAGGCGGACCTCCCGAGCTCCATCTTCACTGGTAGAGGGTTGCAGGATGCCATTTTTGCTGGCAGAAGGTTGCAGGAGGCCATCGCAGCCAAAAACGGAGCTCGGGAGTCCATTTTCACTGGCAGAGTACTCAGGCCACCATAGGTGCCCCAGACACAAGTGACATCGAGATGGCCACGCCTACCCTGCCCCCCCAAGATCAAACACAACCCTGATGTGTCCCCTCAATGAAATTGAGTTTGATACCCCTGATGTAGTGCAATATACTTAGAATAGCCGTATCTCTATCTCCTTCCCAACTTTTCATGAATGCTATTCTAATAAGGAATTCTTTTTTTTAAAAAAAAAAAAAAAGCAAAACCATTCATTACTATTAATGGTAATATAGTTCATTTCTAGTTCATTCTGACAAGTTTTCCCCCAGATAATTAAACTTATTAAATATAATTTTAATTGGTACTATTCACATTGAATTTAAAGAGTTCATAACTGAACATGTATTTGAATGTGCTTCAGTTTGTTATACTCTAAAGTCAGATTCTATTAATTGAATATAGCTTTCAGATTTCATAGCTTTCAGATTTCAGTATCTAGCTCAGACTCCATAAAATGTTTAATCTGATTACACATTAAGACATCCTATAACTTTCATTATGTTCACAGTTCATTACAGTATCAAATCCTCCCCTCTCCCTCAAAGTAAAAGCTTAGAAAAGAGTGTTTGCGATTATCTGTTAAGAGTGACTAGCAAGTTTATATTATAACTTCTTAAGTGCATATACATAGAGGTAATTTGGTATAGAGGCCAAGTCTTCAGAAGATAGTGAATTGTAGTTCCATCTTAGACACATAGATAGCTGGCAGGCCTTGGGCCAGTCACTTCTCTCTGCCCTAATAGAAAAGGAACTAACAAGCCATTTATAAAACCACTGTCAAGGAAACTGAAGGGAGCAGTCACCAGAAATTTAAAAAATGACTTAAAGCCAGTTTTTAAACATTTGGATTGCATGGAATCACTTGGGATAGCAAGATGGGCAGCTTATAAATTAAATTAAATTAAATTAAATTAATAAATTGATTTATACTTTCTAGTTCCTATAATTTAATAATTTAACGAATATGTAAACTTTAGGACTTTTAAAGGTGATAACTAACACCCTGAATAGTGCCTGGAAGTAAATCAACAACCAATGCAGCTCCTGAAGGAGAGATGACACATGTGCCCAGTGCATTGGCTGTTGATTTTCTTCCAGGTCCAATTCAAGGTGCTATTTGGCACCTTTAAATCCTACATGGCTTGGCACCAGGTTATTTGAAGGACTATCAGAGAGAGGAGGCAAGGATTGTGGGTCTCCTCTCATAAAGAGTACATCTAGTGAGACCAAGAATGGCTTTCTCTGTGGTAATTCCCTCTCTGTGGAACATCATCCCCACAGAAATAAGACTGTCCCCCATTTTGACACTCTTCTGCAAGGCCCTGAAGACTTGCGTTTTGCTAGCAGGTCTGAGGAACCTATCAAGTGGCTTGTATGACTGCTTATGTCATCACAGGGGTGGGATATCACTTTTTATTGTTTTTATATGAGATTTTTATCTTTGTAAGCCATCCAGAATCACTGAAAGTGAATTGTGTGACCTAATAAATTTCTTAAATAAATTAAATAAGATAAAATATTATTTGATAATAGATGGGGCTACAATAGCTCTCATGAATGAAGGCAAAATAGCTAAAAAAACCGTAGCTCTGTTCACAACCAGAGCAAGTAGATAACTGCATGAATAAATAGGAAAAGATTGTCAAGTTAACTTTCTCTACAACTTTTGGCATCATGCTCAATCCTGCCATCCACTTTGAGAAGCAAATGGAAGAAGCATGAACATCTGCAGCAGCAGAGTAGCATGAAGAAGACCAGGAAAGCCCCAGTATATAAATGGAATATAATGCACAATCCTTTAGATCTTATCCCTATTTGCCCAAACAATTATTTTTACAGACCAAATTATGATCCGTAAAACATACTTTACAGTTTCTAGTGTAATAGATTAAGGAGCTCTTTGGCATTTTTTTATCCTTGATATTATAGAGATAGGCTGCTGTTACAGATGCAATAGAAGATTACAAGGAATAATCAACTCATGAAAGAGGGCAGGTGCAGCAACAGATTGAGTGGCAAGGATAATTTCACTATTACAATAGAAATTAATTATACCCCAAATCCCGAAAATAAAGCAGTCTTGTTATCCAATATTTCATCATAAATTATGAGAGGTTCTGCATAATAGATAATTTGTAAATTTACTTTTGAGATTTCATTTCGTTTAAGATTTCTAGAATTCAAATGTTTTAGAAGATAGCCAACTACATTATTACGTGATTCTTAAAACATGAAAATGTAGACAATTTATGGATTGTGGACTCCTTTATTTTTTAATATTACAATCACATGAAGCAAAGTTTATATAAAATTTTATTTCCTTCACTATTCCAATATAATCAAACTGAAAAAAGTATTCCCAGACAGCAAAGACAGTACAATGTGCACAAATGCACTTTTATGAACACTTCTCAAGCATGCACATATTATATAACTTGATGCCTGATTGTAAGATTAACCATAATTGCTTCCCTTTTGTGAAGATCAAATTGTATGTTTGGTATGTTCAAGCATAACTGCATGTTAATCCATGTTAATAAGTCTTTTGCTATCACTTCCAAGACCACTTGGAAGTCTCAGTTAGTCAAAAATAGAGCAGCCTGATTAGTATCTGGTCAGGGGCAGCACATTACACCTGTGTTATGGACCCTAGTAGTATTTAACCTACAATACTTCCTAGTAGTACTTAGTCCTAGTAGTGTTAACCTACAAAGCTCTTTATGGTTTGGTATTCAGGACTGCATTCATTCACCCACTAGAATTGGCCCAACATATTCAATCTTGCTGGGAGAAAGCAGTTAATAGCTTCCCACTTTTACTAGTGTGGGAGGCTGAGGGACAGAGGCACTGCTTTTTGTAGTATTCCCAGTCCATTGGAATGGTTTTCTGCTGAACTTAAGTTAGCTCCAATTTTGCCTGCCTTCTGAAAGGCAGAAGCAGCTGAAAATAGAACTTCCAGATATTTTTCAATTTCTTCCTCTGTATGCGCTTATCTGCAGTTTTCTGTGCATCACATATCTATACTTTTTCAGTTTGTCTTTTGTGCAACTGTTATTTTATTGTGCTGGAACCAAGTAAATGTGTTGACATTTGGACTCACTCTGCCCAGGTTTTATAGAGTTTTTTTTTTGGCAAGTTTTTTCACTTCAAGAGTTTGTTTACCTACTGGTGTCTCAGGACCCTTCAGAATTACTATTTCATTCAAATTCAGTAAAAATGTTAAATTTTTCAGAGACTGACAACTTACTAAATATAAATAAACTAAATAATAAAGTACAAGCTGAATCTAAGAAATACAGTTAATGATTTAAGAAGCATTAATTTTACATATAACTTTATAATTATATAATATATAGTATAAGGCATTTAAAACTGTTTATAAACTGTTTTTTATAATACGCTACATTAGATAGTCAAGCATGCAGATAAACACAGATCACTTTGACAGCTGTATAACATTTTTAGAGATTTAAAGTTTAAGATCAATTCAACATGTGTCCATTTACTTTACTGAGTTTACAGGCTACTCCAATCAAAATATTCTATTGAGTGGCATACAATTAAAATTGTATGCAGTTAAAATAAAAATAAAATAACCAAATATTAAAATCAAGTCCATATATTATATCAATTTATATTGGGAATCAATAATCCTTTTAACACAATTAAAAATAATTACTTATCTAGAGAGAGAGAGAGAGTTATAATATACCTGTGTCTAATGTTTAGTCAAATCTTTAGTGACATTTTGAAGGTCAGGAGGAAGGGGCTTATCTAAATGGCTGGGCTACAGCATTCTAGAGGTTGGAGACAACAACTGAAAATATATGTTTCAGGCCCCTTTAGCTGGCAATCTCTGAGAGAATACATAAAGAATCCACCCTACTAGATCTTACCAAGTAGCAAGATGTTTTTGAAAGAAGGCAATCCAACAGACAACTAGTAATCAGCACCTTGACTTGCACCTGGAAGCCAACAGCAACTAATGCAGAACTTCAAGAAGAAGTGTTATATGGACACCCCATATAACACTTGAGCTACTGCATTCTTGACCAGCTATAGTTTCCAAGTGCTTTTCATGGCCATCCCATGTAAAGCATATTGGAGTAGGCCATCAAAAAGTGGCTAATGTATGAATGGCCGCAAGTAAAGCTTCATATTTTCATATGGCCTAGCTAGATGGCTCAGTGGCTAAGACGCTGAGCTTGTTGATCAGAAAGGTTGGCGGTTCGAATCCCTAGTATAGGTCTCCTGCATGAGCAGGGGGTTGGACTAGATGACCTCCAAAGTCCTTTACAACTCTGTTGCTGTTGTTATTCTCTTGTTATATTTCAAAAAATGTTGCGAGTGGCACTCAATATGGGGCTGTGCAAAGGCCTCTTGGCCACAGCTACCTGCTCCTTGAACAAGAATTGTGAGTCCGAGAGGACTCCCTGTAAATAGAGAAGTGCAACTCCTTTCAGAACTAAACATGCATCTCTGGAAACCACAGGCTTTTGAACCAAGAGCTGCTTCATTTGCTAGGATTCAATCTTTGTCTGTTCTTCCTATCCAGGCCTAAAGGAGAGCACTTGGACAGATTATTTGATACCTATTGAATATTTACCTAGTT